CACACACCCGGTGTCACACACACACACACACCCCCGGTGTCACACTCCTGGTGTGACTGACACACACCTGCTGTGACACTCTGGCTCTGGTCTTCAAAACCAATTCGGCTTTTCATTTCCTTTCGATCACCTGCAAGGCGCGGTGCTTACGGTGTGGGTAATTCCTCACCCTGCCTCTGAATTCGTTTTCTTTTCTGTGTCTGCAGGTCAGAGAAGCCCAACTGGGATTACCACGCGGAGATACAAGCTTTTAGCCACCGACTACATGAAAATTTCTCACTGGATCTTCTAAAGACTGCATTTGTTAATCCTTGTTACATTGAAAGTGAAGAGGCAAGACGCCGAGACCTTGGGCTCGACCAGGAAACGGTTGCTCTTAACCTACAAGATAACAGTAAACTTGCAGAACAAGGCCTGGCCTTTGCACGTTCATACCTGGCGCGGTGCTTCGAAGGTGCCTACCCAGAGCTGCCCGCCAGCGGGGTGGGAGCACTTGTTGGTTTTCTTACCGGTCAGGAACTCGTTTCTTACGTGGCTCGAAACCTGTCCGTGCAGGACCTGACGCTCTGCAGAGAGTTTCCCGTCCCAGCAGGCGTGCTCCAGAGGACGTTCTTTGCTGTGATAGGAGCCCTGCTCGACAGCAGCGGGCCTGAGAAGACGGAGATCTTTGTCAGGGTAAGTCATTGCCCGTCACGTGTTTTTGCAGTGACCATGCTTAACTTCTAACGGTATCGGAAGTTCCATGGGAAGAAAGGGCGAAAAATATTAAACACTGCCTCGGACCTTGACAGGCAGAGATCCGGGAAGATTGGCAGAAGTTTGGCAATGCCTGTAACCAGACAGTTCAACGAGGAGATCTGTCAGGGGGTGAGGGGTGGGCAGGGTTGGGTGAGTTCGTGGGGCGTTTATCAGGAACTGTTGGTGCCTCTTCACATGGTATTTTTATGAGGAGACACGAGAGGCTGGAGCCTCTCCCGTTAATTGTAACTTGTGAATATTCTTGTTCAGGATTTTTTTATTCCCGAACTGATTGGGAAGGACCTCTTTGAGATCTGGGAAGTTGTAAATCCGATGGGCTTGCTGGTGGAGGAGCTGACCAAGAGGAATATCGCTCCTCCAGAACCAAGAATTACCAGGCAGCTGGGAGTGACCACGGTGCTGCCGCTGTACTTCGTTGGGCTGTACTGGTCAGTGAAGTATTAAAATAAACTGAAGTGGGTTTAATCTGGGGGAGAGGGGAGGAGGGAAGATGGTCTCTTGCTTTTCTGTTCGCGCTCTTTAGTCAAGTTTTTACAGAAAAGAAACTTTTCAGCGACCTCCATGTAAAACTGGTCATTGAAGTGTTGCCACAGTCGTGCTAAAGAGACGCTCCTTTTTGCTTTTTTTTGAGTTTCCGTAATTGAATGTACAATCACTTACCTTTGCAGGGAAACGTTGACATTTGTGTGTGTGTAGAAACTACCTTCAGTATTCCCAGCTAGTGAAAAAAAAAATCCAGCAGCCCTTACTCATGATACACAGTAGTGCTCAGGCTTTCATGATGAAAATGTTTTTATTTTTTCCCCCCCAAGCGATAAGAAGATTATAGCTGAAGGTCCTGGCGAAACGCTGCTCGCTGCAGAGGAGGAGGCTGCCCGCGTGGCGCTGAGGAAGCTGTACGGATACGTGGAGAACAGGAGGCCGTGGGATTACTCGAAGCCCAAACAAGGACTGGCAGTGGCAGAGGCTGTGGGCAGTAACTAGGTGATAAAAGACAGTTCTCGTTCCTCTTGAGAATTAACAGCTTTCCCTGCTGACTGTAGGTGTATTTGGGATGCAAAATTCTGTTTGGTTTTCTTGGTGCTTGAAACTTACAAATCAAATATGGTATGAAAATAAAGTTTTTTCCTTTTGCAAGGTGTTCCATATTTGCTCATTTTCCTAAACAAAACGAAAGTAGCCTTATTCCGCCTTTCTGCCATGTGCTGGGGAGTTTTTCTGTGCATCACAGGAGGTGGTTTTTAATTACATTTAGTAACGTGTGACAAAATCTTGCTGTATAGAGAAAGGTTCCGTGAGCACTTCCTTGGAGTTTGTTTTGCACGTGGTGTTAATGAGTGGGGCCACCTGTGCGACATTGGTCTCTGGATTCTGTCTGGATTCGTGTGTCCCTGGACTTGTGAAAACATCAAATGCAATGTCGTCGATACCGATGCTGTGGGTGAGCTGGTTAAAATAATTAAAAGGTGCACATGGCACTTCTGAGGTCTTACTGCCTGCATACTGATTTTATTTGCTGTACACGCTGGTTTCCCTTGTTGGAGGATGCTCTGAAAGAGGATGTACTTTCTGTTATAAAATGTGTAAAAATTTCTCAACTGCAAAACTAGAAATGAGTGAAAACAAGGATCACGAAGGCCTGAACCAAAGAACTTGGAGAACGTGATTTAACGACAGGCTATTAGATAAGCTACAGCCTTCTCTCGACTTTTTTCTCTTTTTGTCTCTTGTTGGCGCTTTCCTTGTCCAGCCCAGGTACTTCGTTTCTCTCCTGTCCTCTGACCGCTTCACGTAAGCCATCCCGTGACCGAGGGACTGGGCCCAGCGACGTTGGCATCTGCTTGGTCGCCGTTCTCGCGTCACTCCAGGGCGATGGGGGTCGCTTTGGGGTAACTCAGGTGCCCACACGCTGTTCCCGTGAGGTGCGGCAGAGCTTCGGCCCGGCTCCCCGGAGACAACAGGTTGCTTGTGTTCAGTGGAGAACTCTGGCCAGGTGACCGGTTATCGCTTACATAAGCAAAGCCAACAAGGTCACTGTATTCCAGAGGAATAACAGCAAAATCTGAAAAGAGGATAGAAATTACTCGTGCTATTTTTAGTTTCCAGATGAGGTACTTCTCTTACCTTTACCTATTTTAAAAGGTCAGCAGTGAAGGTGGGGTTTATTCACATCCAAATTTTGATCTGTCTACTCTGTTTTATACATATTTGTGTATTTTGAGAGAGAAAAGCAACTTACCTTCAGAGAGTATTGAAGACCTGCTTCCTGTGGCTCTGCAGTTTGGCGTATGGGCACAAGTCCCAGGAGAAGTGGATTACTGGATAACGTGCTGGAAAACACCTGAGTAATGCGAGATAAATCAATTTATCATGTAGGACACCTATGGAATGTCTTGAGCTGAAACGGAAAGACAGTTTGGGGGCATGGAAAGAAAGGAGTGGGTTTTCATAAAGGTGTCAGTGAAAAGGGAGTTTTTGTAAGAAAATGTGTCCTGTTCTCATGCTTCCAAAGGTCAGAAAAGCGTTTTATGTGGTATCTGCTTTTATTTCTGCCACTCAAGCATGTATGTTCTGTTGTGTTAGCAGGAATCATTTCCTCCTACTTCAGATGAGTAACTTCTTTTTCTTTTTTTCCTTTTTTTCTCTGAGTCAGTAGCCATCAATGATATCTAAGTGGCATTAAAAGATTGGTTAGATTCACAGAAATCTGTCTGTACAAAGTCTGGAGAAAATGGCAGCTATTCTTCTGGAAACACTGCTTGTGAAATTACATGATAGTTTCGTTGGGCAAAAAGAACTCCATGAGCTGCTTCTGTTGGGCCTGGCCAGGTGCGGCACGCGAGGGCGTTCGCATCTCCCGGCAGCTCTTCCTTTCTGAAAACACATTCTATTTATCTTGCCAGGAAGACAACAGGTCAAGCAGTGTGGCAATAATTGACTGAGAGAAAGGAATCAAAAATTTAAATAAGCTGCTCTGGTGGCTAAAAAAAGCCATGAAGAATTCCAAACATCAAAAGCCGTGTTGTCATTCTCTTCTGCAGGGCACAGGGAGAGGGATGGCGCAGTGCAGGAACATGAGAAGAGCCCTACTTTTTCCTGTCCTCGGCGTGCCTGAGTGCCGTGGCAAACTTTAAACAGCGCTAAACTATGTGGTTTCTCTTACATCTGAGCTTTGAAGTTATAATATCAAGAGTGTAGAGAAGCAAACATCTAAGGGCAAATTATTTTTATCTTTCCAAGTTGAAGCCACTGAGCTAATGGCACTAGTTCTGTGTGTCTGCCAGCCCGGCTCATCTAAGCAACTGTGGATAAATGAGGAAGATCAGATGGCGAGGAGGTGGTTGGTCCGCAAGTAGCCTCGGCCGTTACACAGGAGGTAAACGTTAGCACCCCGGGCTGGGCCTGCGTACAAAGTGCCCGTCCGTGGCAGCTGTGCTTGTGACTTCCACTTCTGTGTTCCAATATTTTCTCTGAATTCCTACAGTGCCGGTACGTGATGGCTCTTGGGGACCTCCTGGATCACCACGACAATCCAGCACCACCACAGCCATGTCACAGGAGCCTTGCCCCGAGCAGACGGTGCTCTGGTTCCGAAGCGTTAGGTGATCCTTTGCTCCAGCTGGGGACAATGACAGAGCCTCGCTGTCCTGGCATGGAAATTAAAAATTGTGCCATTCCTCTGTAAGTGTTCGCTGCCGGTTGTGCTCACCAACCAAGATTTGTGATTAGTATCTCTGAGGTAATGTGGGGGATGTTGCCAGGTCAGTAATGACATAAGTAAGCCTAACTGCATGAAAACCACTGCGTGCTCCTCGAGGCATCGAGGTGAGCACCACCGCCCTACGTCAGACCCAAACCTGTGGGAGAAAATCCAGAGTAATTGGAGGTCAGAGGTGCAAGGACTAAACCCTTTGACAGTGGGTTTGCACAGTGATCTCTGGCAGCAATGGAAAGTGGGAGCAGAAACCAAGAGTTTACCCTGGCCAACGTCTAACCCAGTGACAGCAGAAACTTTTCACTCACCGCTATGAAACCTTTCTCTGTAAATCATTAATTTGCTTAAGCCGTTGTATTTTCTGAATGATTGCACTTACCCGAGCTGTGTTCCGCAGCCTGAGGCGAGCTGAGCTGGCAGTGACTGGCGCAGGCGGGCGCCCACCCCCTCTATCTGCAGCCTGCACGTCCTCGCACTTAGGTCAGGCCCTTATCGGGGCGCACAAAGCGCCGGGCGCAGGGAGGGTCGCTCTGGCATCACGGCAGAGCTTGTAAGCTCCTACGAACACGCTGAACCTGAAACATGGGGCAGCTGGACCTCTGGGAGTAAAGTACTGAGATCTGAAACACCCCCCAGAGAGGAGCAGGATGCAAACCCTGCCCGGTGTATTCATAAAGTGGGTTGATAGCTTAGGAAAGTCAGGGCGAAGTCAGAGAGCTCTAAGGACATGGTACCAGCCGTGTCACGAGGTTTTGTTCTAGGCATGCACAGTAGCGTTCTGAACTCGCTCTTTTGCACATGCCGAAGCACAGCAAATGGAACGTTACTGTGCCCATCATGCCTAACTCTCTGCCGTTTGGACAGGACAAATTCTCAGGGGTTCATGGGAAAAATCTCGCTGGAAGTATCTCAGATTTTAAAGGTACAGTAATGAGAAACATTGCACTAAAGTTGAAGAACCAGGCTTCCTTTTGTAGTCCACTTCTAAAACGTTTTCTTTCAGAAAAGGGCTGCCTGAAAACTCAGTGCTTGCATTACATAGGTATTTATCCTTCTATTTGAATGTCTTTTTCCCAGATTTCCCTATTTTATGTCCATCTCCTTTGCTTTACTCGGATATGCTGGTTTTTTTCATCTCACTGAAATCCGAGTGGCCATTTCCATGATTTTTAGTAATTCTGATACTTGTTACGCTCATCGATTTGTCCAGCACGGTGTACGAAACCCCCTTTGGTTATCAGGTGGGGCTCAAGCACGGCTGTGCTGAGATTTACCATCTCAGTGCTTGAGGTGATGGAGCGCGTGGCGGGTTTTTCATGCCTTGCCTTGGCATCTGAGACTCTGCCCACTTTTTCCTTCCTTGTCGACCTTTTTCATTCTTCATGTACTCAGGCTGACTTAGAGAATTGGGAAGTTTTGGACCCATTTTCTGCGTGTAGACTCCAGTTGTGAACACTGCTGCGGGGTTCCCACGAGCACTGAAGGATACCGGTTCAGACCAGTTAATTTTACCCTAGCGCTCCCCAAATCAGGCCTCAAGTGATGTTTATTAAAAGAGGTGAACTTGTAAGGAAATCTGAAGAAGAATGTGTGAGTTTTGTAAAGCATGGGCAAATAAAAGAACAGTGGCTGAAAATATTACTTCTCCTGGCTATTCTAACATTGCATTTCCCTCACTGAAGACGATTGTTAAATTACCTGTAGTGCTTTTTGCCAAATCTAAAGCAGTTCTAAGACAGCAGTAACCAACAGGAGTTTCCTCAAATTAGACTGGCTAATCAATAATTTAGATTCATTAGTGGGAAGGAACAAAGGCCTCTCCGTTCCCATGGGAGTTTTACAGAAAACAGGCAGGAAATGCCCGTCATCAAGTGGAAAAGGTACTGAAGAACTGAACTCGAAAACGCGCTGGGCTTTAAATCCAAATCTCATTCATGGGTCAAGAAGTAAGTTACATTATACTTTAATGTGAAAATTAACTTGCTGCTGTTCAGAGAGATGGGAGAGCGTTTCCTGGTTGAGTACTTTATGTAACCAAACGCCCCAGGAATTGTTGGTGACTTAGATGTCTGTCTAGATCCTGTCTCTCATTTAGAACCAGAAGTCAGACAGAGTTAAACTGCCTTTCCACTGCTGAGGTCTGGCTTTCAGCTCTTTGTCTCCTCAGGTCATTCGTTTGCTTCCTTCTCACATTATTCATATCGGTTCCACAGCCTCTCTCTCCTGCCCGCCGGCGCGGGGCTGCCTTGTGCCCCGATAGCGTTCCTGC